GATTTCCCATTATCAATTTCCAAATTAGTACATATCAAATAACTTATGTCACAACTACACGTTCAAAATTAACGCGTTTGCAAACATGTCTATATATTAGTATCATCTTTTTTTTGCCAATCTCATCATTTACCATTTTTTTGCTACCTCGCCCCATAGAAGTTTGGTTCCTAGTGTTTTGTCGTTTCCTATATTTCTTTGTTTTATTTGTTTCATTTTTTTTCAATATTTTATTTTATTTTTTAGTTTTCTCCCTTGAAGTTAGAAGTTTGGTTCCTAGTGTTTTGTCGTTTCTTATTGTTTCTTCGTTTTATTATTTCATCTTTTTTCAATATTTATTTTATTTTTTAGTTTTCGTCTTTTAGAAGTTTTCGTCCTCTAGGAGTTTGGTTCCTAGTGTTTTGTCGTTTCTTATTTTTTCTTTGTTTTATTTGTTTCATTTTCTTTTCAATAATTTATTTTATTTTTTAGTTTTCTCCCTCGATGTTTGCGTTCTTTAGAAGTTTGGTTCCTAGTGTTTTATCGTTTCTTATTTTTTCTTTGTTTTTATTATTTCATCTTTTTTCAATATTTATTTTATTGTTTAGTTTTCGTCTTTTAGAAGGTTTTGGTTCCTAGTGTTTTGTATCTTTTATTTTTTGTGTTTGTTTTATTTATTTCGTCTTTTCAACATTTATTTTATTTTCAGTTATCGTCTCTCAGAAGCTTTTGGTTCCTAGTGTTTTGTATCTTTCTTTATGTTTTTTTTTATATTTTTAGTTTTATTTTATTTAAATTATCATTTTTTAGACGGCTCAACCATGAGATACACCTCTACGTGGTGGTTGAGACGAGTAGGAGAACTAGTCTCCGAAACCAAGTATCTCACATTCTTGTAATTTTGTAATTTTTGTAATTTTTTGTATTTTTGTAATTTTTTATTTTTAAAAAAAATAAAACCTTTAGTTAAATTTGAATTCGAAGTTTATAATAAATGTTATTTGAGCTGTTGTTAAATGTAAATAAAATTGTAATCTTTTGTTAAGAACGAGTTAAAAAGAATAACGATTTTGAGTTAATTAAAATCGATCCTATAGTTGTTAAATAAATCAAGCGACTTTATATTTCATAAAATATTGAATAGTAAAAAAAAAAAAATTTTTGAATCTAACGCTAATCAAATATCGTAAATTTCAGAATTTTCTGCTTATATGACTGATTACCAAAATTTATCTACCCTAACCACCGCTAAATAAGAAAATTACCTAATAGTTGTGGTGTATACTGCAAAAATCGGCATACCGAAAATGTGAAGGTTGTGCTCCAGATGATCATGTGATGGTCCCGATGACCGATTGATTTCTTTTAATAATATATCACAATTATAATGATCTATGTTATAAAGTCTTTCCTTTCACTGCACCTTTGGTTACTATTATCTTTATTTGCGCATAACATTAAAGAAAATAAAATAAAAAAAAAAAGCTGTATTCTATGAGATTTATTTATTCGCTAAAATTTTTTTAAATAACTTATTTGTATTTCGTAAGGAAAATTTTCTATAACGAACTGACGTACTGAAAAATACAAGTTCACTATAGAGGGGTTTGTCATACTGTATAGAGCCTGCCATATGTAAAAAAATGTATTGAAAATTTTTTTTTTTGAATAAATAAATTTTTTTGTTAAAAAAAAAAAGCTTCTATCTTAACAAAATCGTCAGAGAATTTACAGTATTTTCAAATTACAAACAACATACGTACAGTACGTAAGTCTATTAATTGAGAAATTTTGAATTCCGGAGTAGCCATCCGAACCGACACATTTTCGGTATGCTTGGCTTTCAATTTGTGACTTTATTATACAGACTCGGCATAATAAAAATTTTCAGAATTGGTCCCAAGATTGCAAGTTTAAAGGCCCAAAGTCTAGTTTTCTTTAACGTCACGTTTGCATAAATTTTATATACGTTTCATACTATACACAATACACCACTACTTTACTAAATCATACACCACAACTATTCGTATTACTCCTTTTAATTTGGTAGTATAATAATTAAATTAGAGCGATCTACAACGCTGAAGATTTTCGTAGAATGCTCTAGAATTAAAGATGTTAAAAGTTTGGCACAGTCCAGTTAAAGTTACTAATTCAGTCTAAATTCGTCTAGATTGGACCACTTAACGTCCCTATCTGGAATTGTGATTTCTAAAATAGACACATGTAATTAAGGAAATAAGTTAATATTCAGATTAATAATCGGTAGAAATTATTGTTATGAGTCAGAATTAATAATAGTATTCATTAGAGTTAGAACTATAGAGTTTTTTGTATAAATAATGAATTTATGAACCCAGCTTCTCAAAATTCAACAAGTTCAAAAAAGCGAATTAAGTTAATTAACACTATAAACTATATACTATATCACACTAAACTATATAACATTAAAACAAAATGTCTTTATACTGGCCTGAACATAAATTTGGTCATTTCGAGAATTCAGTATCTGGCAGTTGGGCTCCATCTTTTGATGTTCACGAAAATGAAAATGAATTTATTGTAAATGCTGAATTACCTGTATATATATATATATGACAAGATTTTATTATAGTTCACATTTTTTGTAATTTTACAAAAAATTTATAATTTATTTAAAATTTATTTAAATAGGGAATCACTAAAGAACAAATCAATGTTGATGTTCGTGAAAATGCACTTGTAATTTCTGGCGAAACTAAACGGGATGAAAAATATGAAGAAGGAAATATACATATTCAAGAACATAGTTATGGAAGTTTTACTCGTGCTATTTCTCTTCCTCGTAACGTTAAAACTTCAGATATCACTGCTAAGTTTGAACAAGGTATTCTTGAAGTGACGCTTCCAAAGGATGAGAATGAGGTGCCATCAGACAGAAAGATTGATATTCAATAATACAATATGTAGTTAGATACATAATTAAATCTTGTTAGATAATATCATAGTTAAATTTTATTAGATACATAGTTAAATTTTATCAGATAATTTATCAATATAATCTATTTCTATTTGTTATTTTTATTAATTAATACAACATTATTATTATTATACTGTAGTTACAGTGTAATTAATTTTCTTGAATACCGAATTTTTACAGTTTAATAAAATAGACATACGATATTAGGCACTTTTATAAGTCAGGTACTATAGTATATAGTAGCTTGTTTGCATTTACCATATATTATATATTTTTTCATTATATAATAATTAATAAGCGTTCGTTACCTTTAATTACAATTATGAATAATAAACTACAATTTACAAAAAATGACCAAATTCACCCGACTCCAAGTTCCATGATACAGCTCGTCTAATTTTTTTCCTTTGTACTTTCATTTTCTGGTTATTATTTTTTAATATTGCAAATTGTATTATACTCAAACAGACAGCCAAAAATAAACAACTTGATGAAATAAGATGACCAAAAGTATAATTTGGATAATCCACTGAACGATAAATTTGGCTAGCAATTATACCACCGATACCACCAGAACCAACCGTCAATGAGATACCAATATTACGTTTTAAGGATGGTGCAATATTGTTCGCCAACCTTTTTTTTAAGAAAGTATAAAATAATTAATGTATATATAATAATTAAGAAATGAAATTCAGTAAATTAAGTAAACACATACCATGTGGTAGAAGTCGCACGACATGGAAACGCGCCTATCGCGATTAACCAAGTTCCTATATACTTAACTGAAAAAATTTATAAACAAAAAAAAAATTCAGTAATATTTTATTTATTAATTAATAATAAATAAAAAAAAGTATACTAACGAATCGCGTTACTTTGTATTGTTCCAACGATCGCATACCCAAAAATTCCAATTGATGCAAATAATATCACAAAAGGACCACGAAGGTTTACACGATTTGATAAAAATGCAACACCTATTTCTGAAATACATCCAAGCATGAATGGTGGTACTACTAATAATTGAGATAAGACTAGATAGTATATATACAAGCCTAATTAGTTAATGCTCACAAAAATATAAAAATATATTTATTTTATTGTGCTTGCCTTCGTTGAAACCGAATCCATTAATAATTGAGGGAATGAAAAACGAAAAAGAATAAGTTGCAACTGAAATCCCGCAAAATATAAACATCGATACACATACTTTCTAAAAGAATAAATGCAGTATAAATGAAAAGAAAGAATAAGAAAAAAAAAAACCTCCTGGGATCAATAAATAATAAATACAATAAATACCCAATCTTTCAAACATTCTAGTACAAGATCTTTAGTTATCTCTTCAGTATACTGTAATTCGTCACGTTTAATTCCAGTACTAACACGTTTTCGCTCTTCTTTGTCAAGCCATTTGACATTTTCCACAGAGTCAAAAATTAAAAAATATGCAATAATAGAAACTATAATTGTAATTATGCCACACGCTAAAAAGATCTAAAGGAACAGCATTATCACTATAAATTGATTATAAAGACACATGATAGTTATGTATCGGCATACATACCCATTGCCAACCTCTCAGTCCTGCCTTACTATCTAATAAACTAATAATTGCATACGATAATAATCCACTTAATGCACCAGCAAAAGTAGGACCCGAAAGAATTGCGCCCACCCTATAATTTTGTTCTGATCGTCTATACCATATTGTAATATAATATATCATTCCAGGAATTAATACTGCCTCAAAAACACCTAAGAGAAAACGAGCTATCATTATCGTAAAGAAGTTTTTTACCTATAGTATATGTATAAATTAAAATTTGAGTTTTCAGTGAAAAAAAAAACAATAAAATAAATATTGTGTTAGGTTAAGACTCTTACGAAAATCATAAGTATCATTACTATTCCACAAGCAAGCAAAATCGCAGAAACTATATAATGAAAAGGCAGAAGAGATATTTTAATTGTATAAAATAGCCAAATAATAAAAATAAAATAATAATAAAATAATAATAACAGCAAACAAGAATAACTTACTCCAGATCGAAAGTCGTTGCTTAACCTTGTATAATATCAAATTTGATGGCACTTCAAAGAGTATATATCCACTATATTGAATAGTAAATAATCTAATCAATCCTTTTTTTTTTAAAAAAAAAACATAAATTATGCATATATAATTTGAACTCACAAAAAGAAACTACACAAAGCCCAATTATATTGATTATCTGTTAACCCAAGATCGCTTTCCAAATGCTCCAGCTTTGTATTTCCGATACTTATTCTTAATTAAAAAAAAATTGTATTACTGTATATGTTGATATATTTACTATATTAAATATAATTTATCGGTATTTCAAATTCGCAAGTAAATTTACCTATCTAGATAACTTATCATATAAAGAAAGGTTACAAGAGGAACAATTTTTAGGTCAATTTTCTTTAATATTGTCTTTTGGGAGTTACTCTCTTCTTCAGTTATATCAATTGAATCCATGATTAAAAACGCGTCGTTTGGTTTAAACAAAAAAAAAAAAAGAAATTATAATATATATATATTTGGCAATGCATATATATATTTGACGATATGAAATAAAATTCATCCTAAGCCTTTCGAGGCTTTTATTTTGTTTCGTGTCTTGATCTTCAAATCATAAACCTGAAAGTTTGATTTTCTTGACAATTGACTTATCTCGTCAAGATTTGGGTCTTGTTTAATTAGCAACGAATATAACTATATATGGTTATAAAAGTTGTATATTACGAATACGTAGCATAACTCAAAACTTTAGATAAATTGAATTAAAACAACATTAAGGGATTAAGTAAAATTTCGTACGTTTATCACTCCAATTTCTTTGTCATACATAGAAAAGTTTGGCACTACTTTTCGGCGATATTCATACTGTAACAAACAAAAAATGCTACGACTTCATAATGTATAAGGTTACAACAGCAGAGAGATCGACGTCGATTTAGATCTACCCGATTTACAGATTCAGATCGCCAGATCTAAAGATTGTTTTCATTTGGCAATCATTACAACGATAGACCAAAGATCTAAGCCATTATATAATAATATTTTATTACCATATTTCGCCAGGATCATAAGGATAAAATAGTAAAAACCTGCACTTAAAGAAATAAAGAATTTTTATTTGCAATCTGATTAGCGCATTTGTGAATAAAACATGTACGTAAGTATTAAAAAATAGGTAATGATTATTCATCATTACCTTGCGAAAAACCTGCACTTAATGAAATAAAGAACTGTAATTTGCAATCTGATCAGCTCATTTGTGAATGTAAGTATTAAAAAATAGGTAATGATTATTCATCTTTGTTTTATTATCTTGCAAAAAACCTGCACTTAATGAAATAAAGAACTGCTGTTATTTGTAATCTGATCAGCGCATTTGTTATTACCTTGTCAATCCTCTTGTGCATTCTACGAAAGTCTTCAACGTTGTAGAATGGTTTCTGTTAAATTTTTATCAAAAATTTAGCGAATATTAATAAATTTTAGATATAAGAGATAATCGCTCGAATTTAATTATTATATCGATATATATATCGATATGACTAATTAAAATTAATCCAAACAAAAGGTAAACTTACAGATTCAGTTGAAGTAAATACTGTAGATTTTGGTAATCAGTCACATGAATAATTCCGAGATTTAGGTTTCAAAACTATACCGGTATATATTTATTTACATAATCGCTTACTGGTAATTTATCACTGGCTACGCCTATTTAATTTTCTGGTCCAGAATTTTAGAACAAAATAATGATCTTTTAAATCCCACTTATATTCGAAATTGAAATATAAAAATCGTTTGATATATTTAATAATTATAGAATCGATCTAAAATCGTTAGAATATATTGTTAATAATTTTTTATTTTTTTTTTTAACTCGACAAAATTTTCGAAATACGTTAATTCTGAAACCCTTATTTGATTGCGCTTTGCAATAAAGTGTGACATCTGCAGATGATGTCATGTGAAATTACGTAAAATCAGCTGATTCTAGTAGATTTTTTAATTCTCGGAGAATCTTACAGATTCTAGTACTGTTACATAATTGTTCTATTTTAATTTCAAAAAAACCTTCGCTAAAAAAACATTCGTTAGCATGTCCACTGCTTATAGTAATGATTTGAAATGGTTCCTCGCCTATACCTTAATTTGGTTTCTTGAACATCGGCCATTTTAGTTATTTATCAAGAGAAATGTATTACATATATAAAAAAAATAAAAATAAATAGCTTTATACTGATTTAATCATAAATATGTAATAATTATTTTTTATATCGAAAAAAAATAATTGTATATAAAAATGTATACAATTCTATATAATTTCATATAGATTCTCAAAATCCGATTCACTATTAGAATCTCGGAGATTCCTTTTTTATCATCATCATGCAATCATGATGTCACACTTTATTGCAAAGCGCCATAAGCAATTTTTTTTTTTACTATTTGGAATATAAAAATCGCTCGAATATATTTGTTAATAATTTTTTTATTTAACTCGATTTTTAAATTTTTGACAAAATTACAATTTTATTTTACTATTAACAACAGTTCAAAATATCATTTATTATAAACTTCGAATATTCAATTTAACCAAAGATTTTATTTATTTATTTTTATTAAAAATAAAAAAATTACAAAAATACAAAAAATTACAAAAATTACAAGCGAGATACTTGGTTTCGGAGACTAGTTCTCCTACTCGTCTCAACCACCACGTAGAGGTGTATCTCATGGTTGAGCCGTCTAAAAAATGAATTTAAATAAAATAAACCTAAAAATATAAAAGAAACATGAAAAAAAGATACAAAACACTAGGAACCAAAGCTTCTAAGAGACGATAACTGAAAATAAATAAATATTAAAATAAATATAAAAAAAAAACACAAAAAAAGATACAAAACACTAGGAACCAAAGCTTCTAAGAGACGATAACTGAAAATAAAATAAATATTAAAATAAACCATAAAAAATATAAAAAAAACACACAAAAAAAGATACAAAACACTAGGAACCAAAAGCTTCTTAGAGACGATAACTGAAAATAAAATAAATATTAAAATAAACCATAAAAATATAAAAGAAACAAAAAAAAAGATACAAAATACTAGGAACCAAAAGCTTCTAAGAAACGATAACTGAAAATAAAATAAATATTGTAAAAGACAAAATAAATAAAACAAACACAAAAATAAAAGATACAAAACACTAGGAACCAAAACCTTTTAAAAGACGAAAGCTAAAAAATAAAATAAAATATTGAAAAAGGGTGAAATAATAAAACAAAGAAACAATAAGAAAACGACAAAACACTAGGAACCAAACTTCTAACTTCAAGGAAGAAAACTAAAAAATAAAGTAAAATATTGAAAAAAAAATGAAACAAATAAAACAAAGAAATATAGGAAACAACAAAACACTAGGAACCAAACTTCTATGGAGGCGAGGTGGCAAAAAAAGGGTAAAAGATGAGATTGGCAAAAAAAAGGAGATACTAATATATAGACGCGTTAATTTTGAACGTGTAGTTGTGACATAAGTTATTTGATATGTACTAATTTGGAAATTGATAATGGGAAATCTGCATCACACAAAGTGTGATTACTGGGCGTTCCGTGATTATTAATGTGTGTTTCCCACGATGAGAAAAAAGGGGCGCCGAAATACAGAAACGTAAGCTATGAGGGTATTCTGCAAAAATTCATCTGAATGCTATCTTGAATGAGAAACGTATAGCAGGTATATCTCTAATTCTTGTAAATACCGATACAAGTCACATTTTGGACATACAGTAACTAAACGAAACTTACAAATTTATTAGTGCCCATATTAATTTAGCAAAATCATAGCTTTAATAAATCGGATATCTTTTTCTTGTAGCAAAGGTAAATAGAAATCTCGATTATTTTAATAATAATTTGGCAAGCAAGCTCACAGTAATGCATGTTCGCGCGTTAAATTATAATATTCAAACTCAGTTCACGAAACATTATGCTCTACAGTATATGCTATATATACTCTATATTTACTGTGTATATATTGTATAAGGTATATAAATATATACTGTATGTGCGCCACTGAATGTTCTCAATCGATAAGGGTAAAAAAATAGCATTCTATATAAGGAAAATTAAAGTATGCAACTTTCACCCGTATTGAGTCACATCATACTATACGATTCAAATGATACATACTTAATAATAATGACGTTTGTTTCGAAATTTCTGTTTATACTAGGATCATGGCTGGCACTAGTGCCTACAAAATTGTCTATGCCCATGAGCGTGAAAATTCCTGGCATTTTGTAAAGTTCCAGACACTTAGTAATTTTGGCTAGGCATTTACGCTTATAACACAAGGTACCCAACATGTACTTTATGTCAGATAGTTTGCATCTGCACCCATGCTCATGCCTGTGCTCTTTGTTAGGCACGAGCACAACTAGGTTTCCAGATCCCTAGTTTATACAGTGTCTTGTGTATAACTGATTTAATGACCAGGATATTGTTACGGGGTAATTTGTACATTAATAATCTATACACTAAAATATAGACTTTTTATGATTTTTAAATTTGTGATGGGTGAAGTTACAAGAGAAATTTCATGTTTTTTTTATAACTTTTACATCATTATAAAGCATCAAGGGGCTTTACTTAAGGAATGGATCAATACTCTTATATTTTCTATCCAACACTAGAATATTCTGTTAATATTCTACTAAGCCTTTATACTTCTAAAATCACGAATTTGTTGTGCCAAGTTTTGTAGATCACATCTCTTTGCAAATATATTACACGTAAAATCAGCTATACAGTATATTTTTCAACCAATTTACTCATGAGATCTAATTTAATATGAAATTTTGGAATTTTTTAGGTAGCTTTTTTTTTTAGTGATGGTTATAATTTAAGGTTAGAGTTGCTTAGAAAAGAGTATAAGTAGATTTCAGTAGGGTTTATATTTTCAAAAGAAGACCTCAAATTTCACCATCATCCTCGACATTAAATTTCATTAACTTATTCGATTGGCTATTAATTAAACGACTAGAAAAGGATAAGTCCCATGTGAAGCGTGAAGATAGAGATACATAGTTTGACGCAATAGCACATGATTTATATTCTCAAGACTTTTATTGTTATAATAATTACGTTTAAAATATCAAACCTATTAAATTCCTTAGATTAACGTTAACAATTGATTGACTTTAATAAAAGAGACATCTTCATAAAAAATGATGAGGCGTAAAAGAATTCCCGTTTAAATCTAAAAATTTGGAATAACATAGCTGATAGAGGAATTATACCAGTAATTCATTTCTTTATATCCGCAGAATTAAGTCTAGATAATAGGTAAGGATAAAAAAATTTCGCCTAATTTCGAATATTAGCTATCATTTATCGACCAGAATTACATTAGTATTAATGTTCATTGCTTTCTTAGCAGTTAATAGTAACCTG